TTCTTCGGATCTAAGCTTCATGCTTCTCATTTATACTGAAAATGTCCTTTTAAGGGTAAAGTTTCCAGCTTTACCCGTTAATACCTTTACTTAATGGGTTTAGCTTAAACCTAAACCCTTTAGGACCTAGATCTTGGTCCACAAGCCACCATACTCCAAGATAAAGCATACAAACAGAGATCTTGACCCTAAACACTACATAAACACATAAAGCTTCCACCTTTCTCTTCATGCATGGCCTTTTAGAGCTTAAAAGGCCAAAATGACATCCTATAGCTTGCATGGGGCTTCAATGACCATAAAGTTTGCACCTTTATGCCATGAAATCCCCCCATGATTCCAGATCTGATGGTTTACGCACTTGGGATGTCTATATCCCAAAGATCAAGCTTCTTGGACCAAAAACCCAATAAAATGATGAATAAGAGATCTAAGAAGTTACTAAGCAAGTTTCAGACTTGCTTACCAGAAAATGATGAGAATGAAATGGAGTCTCTGGATCTACTAGCTTCATCTTGAATCCCCAATATTCTCCTTCCTTCACAAGCTTCAAAACACATAAGGTTTCACTCGAAAATGGCTCACAAGCTCACAAATGCATTAGGGTTTCTGAATCTAGGGTTTGGGACTTGGAGGCTGGAAATGAGGCCAACAAGTGGGGATTAGGATGCTTAAATAGGGTGCAAAACCCCGAAATTAGGGTTTCATTCTGACAGCCCTTCTCGTCGAATTGAGGGCTCTCAACTCGTCGAGTAGTTTACTTAAAACCCGCGTCAAATCTGGTTTTTACTCGACGAGTTTGGGGCTCCCAACTCGACGAGTTGCTTTACAAAAGTGAATAAAATATAATTTAAATGTGTACCAGGAACCATTTATTACATAAAGCCCTCCTTCTAAACTAGACACCTCCAACTTCAAAGCTCCTTCCAAAGAATACCAAAAACCAACTCTTCAAGCTCACACACCAACCTTGGAGGAAAATGCACGAAATTAGGGTTTCTGGACAAGGAGGCTGGTGAGGAGGCCAACAATGGCACTTAAGGTCTTTAAATAGGGTGCAACATCCTAAAAATTAGGGTTTCCTTCCCAGCCGCCAACTCGTCGAGTTGAGGCACCCCAACTCATTGAGTTGGTCCAATAATTCTCATGGCCAGAATCCACTCAACACGTCGAGTTGAAGTCGCCGAGTTCAACAGGAAAAAATCACAATTTAAGGAAATAAATTCATACCAGAACTAAGCGTTACACTTTGCAGGAAAAAGAACCTTCTTGATCTTCAAGCTTCATCAAAGCATAAGTATAAGCATCCAAAAGAAGAGAAATGAGAGAGGATGAGCTCCAATCTTGAAGACGAAGGCTAGGGTTTCTCCTAATGAGTTCTAGATGTGATGGTGGATAAAAAATACCCTAAAACATAAATCCTTGCCATTAAATACCTTGAAAGCTCTAAAATTCGTGGGCTTCGGCTACCTCAGTTACCACTTCGTGGCAGTGGGTTTTCATCCAAATTCATTCCAACTTCAAAGAGTTACATCCTATTTGTTTCAACTCCGTTTTCAACGATCTTTATATCCATGCGAAGGTATTCACAAGCCCCAGAATTCTATCCAATTACTTTTGATTTAAATCAAACCAAACTAATTTTTTTAACTCATGCAAGAGGTCCGAAACATCACTTTTCTCATTTCATCATTTGGTTCGTAAACACGAATCAAGGACTTCGATCTCATAATCAATATTACCAACATCTGATAGAGTCTAAACTTTATTTCTTTGAAGCTTAATGCCTTTACATGATCGAATTACAGTCCACAATCCTGAGATAGAAACATCCATAAACTGGATGTCACACAATCCCAATCTTAGAAACCAAAAAACGATCCTACGTAGAATACTAATGTTGACAACCTTGACAAGGATCGAGAAGTTAAAACTCCATTGAAAATTTAAATAAAAGCGAAATTTTGAATAAAAGCTCAAACTATTTGATTAAACATTTAAACTACACCTTTAAATTTTATGTTTATTTGAATTGGACAATTCTATGGGTTTTTTTTTTCCAATCATTAGCTGACGAGTTCTTTTATCGTGATTCATTGCGATTGTTTTGGTGAAGGGGCATTTTTAGCTTATGAAAACAATGATTGTATATTTTTATTAAATTATATGACAAAATCAAATATTATTTTTACAAATATCCCAGTTATCAATTCAATCCTCCTTAATAAATGAAAATAAGTTTGTCACTTGTCATTTTCATTGTATATGTAAATTTATAGTAAATTAAGATTAAATTATATCAATGTGTCATTTTGTGGTTTTTTCAATTTTATTAAATTTCATATAATACTTAAATGTAATAAATGTAATAATAATTATATATATTCAATTCATTAATGTAATTTTCCTTATAATTTTTAGATTAAATTCAATTATTTTAGTTGTTTATTTATTTAAATTATTAATTTAAATTTAAAAGATAAATAATCACCTGAATTTCAATAATTAATTATTTTATTTTATTTTCTTATAAATTTAAATTTTCTGAATTGTTACATCTTCATTTTTATTTATCTTTTTTAATAAACTCATGTTTCACAATTAGTATTTTTTATTATTTAACAAATGATTAATATTATAAAAGCTCTAAATTTTTAACGCATAATAGGAAAAAGTCCTAACATTTTTTTTATTATTGCTATGACCACAACTTTCTCGCAGAATTATCACTTCAGCCCATTTAACGAGTTTCATAGTTAAGTTGGTTAACTTTTTTGTAAAATCAGTCCTAAAAAGTTCAAATTTAGTTCATAAGGTTTGCAAAAAATTACACCACATGGTTTTTTAACTTTATTCTTCGTTTTTTGTATACTTTATTTATTTTCGGTTTTTTATAAATATGTGTACATTTTTTTGTTTTCTTTTTATATACATACTTTATTTATTTTCATTTCTAACTTTATTTTTCAACAATTTTTTTTAACATTTTTATCTATTGTTTTCTATTTTTAGTGTATATAACTATATATAGAGTATATTAGAATTTTTTTTAGGTTTTTTCATATTTCTTTTCGTATTATATTTTATTATTTTCATCTTTTTATTTTTTTATTTTTTTCTTATTTGTTTTCCAATTTTTTGTTTTTGTTTTTGTTTTTTTGTTTTTTTTGTATTTTTATCTTTTTGTTAACATTTTTCAAAAATACAAAATGTATTAATATATTAGAGTATATAACAATTTTGATAATTTAAAGTTTTTGTATTTTTTTTATTTTTATTCAAATAAATAAAATAGTTATGTTTATATTTGTTATTTTGATCCAGCTTATTTTCTTTTTATTCTTTTTTTCTTTAGTTTTATTATATTTATGTTACGAAAAATGAAAATTAAAAAAAAAATAACTTGTTTACTGAGAATTAGTGTTTCAATTTGTTATATAACTTGCAGATTAAATCATATTTCTATATGTGATATCAATAGATTAAATTCAAGATAATATTTTTCAATTTGATAATAGACTAAAAAAGAAATAATAGTCGGTCTCTATAAAAAAAAACTTGGTATAGTAATTTATATTGAATTCAAGTTGATTTACTTGAATCAAAGTAAATAAAAACATTAGAAAAACCATAAATAACTAAAATAGGGAAAAAAAAATAGAAAACAAAAGGTAAAAAAGATAAAAATTAAAAAAAAAATCAAATTGTTGAAAAAAAAAAGTTAAAAAATGAAAATAAATAAAGTATATAAAAAAAGAAAATAATATATATATATATATATATATATATATATATATATATATATATATATATATATATATATATATATATTAAAAAACCGGAAATAAATAAAGTATACAAAAAAACGAAAATAAAATTAAAAACCCATGTGGTGTATTTTTTTCCAAACCCCATGGACTAAATTTGAACTTTGTATGACTGATTTTGTAAAAAAATTAACAAAGTTAACCATAAAACTTATTAAGTGAGCTAGAATGATAATTCTGCGAGAAAATTATGGTCATAACAATAATAAAAAATATATTAAGGTTTTTTCCAATTACGCAATAAAAATTTAGGGCCTTTATAATATTAGTCATTTAACAAACTTCCATGCCTTTTACCAATTTATTTAAAAAAATTGATTTCTACATGAAATTGTTAATCAACTAACAAAAATAAATCATGAACAGAAATATAAAACATTCCAAAACAATGAATGATTCAATTAATGCAGAAATCCATTATTCTATTCTTTCGGCTCACACTAGTTAACCGAAGTACAAAAATCTCCATAACAAGGAACAATATAATATACTCATTAAGTTTTGTAAAATGGACAACATAAAAGACAAGATATTTAAATATGAATTGTACCCTCCCCTTTTATACTTATACATTAAGGAAGATGGACAAAATTTTGAGTACATACTCCATGTGCACCCCCACACTACAAATCATAGGTCTCATTTAAGATGCTCATCCTAAAGATGGTTCACAGAAAGATCATGCCTAGTGGGTTCCTTTTTGGATAGGAATGGTTTTAGATAAAATAAATTCTTCTTTTTTTTTTTACCATAATTTTTAATAAATTTTCTTTTATTATGATTTAAATTTAAGAAATAAACTAGCATATTATATCGGTATTGTCTAGTGTCTAGTTTCTATTGTCTAGTCCATTTGTTCTTAATAGTTCGAGTTTTTATGACTGATTGAGATTAGAAACACTTTCGTAGCTATTCACATATCGATACATTGATAGTAAGTGGAAACTTTGTTACATCTTTCTTGGATGTGAAAAAAGTTACAATTTTTATCCCAATTATGATAAAATGCACGTTAAATGCGATATAATATTTTCCTCTCGTGTTTTATAACAAAAATAGGCGAAAAGTATTTTTAACATTCATTGTATTCACAATCTTATTTAACCCTAAACGTCAACATAACACGTGAAAAAAAAAAACCCTAAGATATACACGAAAACAAGAAACGAGTCATCATCTCCAAAACCCTCTAATCATACGAACAAATCTATTCGATGTCAAGTTTCTAACGATTTTTCTCGCATCCGAAACTTGTTCATCCGCTAATTTCTCGATATTTTTCAAATAACCCGAACTCAAAATTTTCTTTCGACCACTATTACAACCCGATAACGACATGATTATTGGAAGCAAAAGCTTCCGATTACTTGAACTCCCATCTTCTTGATCAACCGATTGCATAATCAATCCCACATTTTGATCATTTTCCACGAATTTTTTTCGATTTTTCGGAATCGAAACCAAATTCGATAATGTCTCGGATGCCATTTCTCGAACCTCAAACGACTTTGCACCAATCAATTTCACAAGTTCTTGCATGAATTCTTTATCTCCCATTGCTTTCTTGAAATCATCCGAAATCCCACTTAACCAAAACGCGGCTTTTAGCGACGATTCTTGAACCGAAGTGTCGCTATTGTTAAGAAAATGGAGTATGTGATCCAAGAAACCCGAACTTATTAAAGTGTGTGATCTTGTTGAATTTGAACATAAATTCATGATTGCCATTATTGATATCTCTCGGGTTGTTGATGAAAAGGATAATTGTGGATCCAAGATTTGAGATAGAACATGAATCCCACCTTCTTTAACGATCAAATTGGTTACTAATTCGTCTTTAGAGGCGATTGATTGGAGGAAATCAATAGCAGTGATTTGGGAAAGTTCGTTTGTGGAGTTAACAAGGTTGATAAACATTGGGATTGCACCTTCTTCAACAATAAAACGTTTGATTTCAGAAACTCCAACAAGATTTTTAAGAACACCACAAGCTAAACTTACCAACTCACCATCGTTTTCATATTCACTACCAGAAATTTTCAACAATGAAGTCACCCCACCATGAGCGGAGACTGACCAAGCATTATCAGATTCACTTGTGCATTTCATCAAACAGCTGGTGGACAGTTTTCTGCTCAAATTGGTTCCGCTTTCTAAAACTCTGATTAATGGAGCAATAACTCCGAATGAAACTAAAACACATTTGTATGAATCAAACGCACAAAGTATATCCAACGTTTTCAATGCTTCCTCTTGGATTCTCGATTCTTTTGAAACCAAAAGCTCAACTAAAACAAAAGCAAACCCTTCAACATCCATTGCTATCTTCACAAACCTCTCATCTTCGTGAATGACTTCATTGAAACATATCAAGGCTCGTTTCTTAATCTCATTGCTCCCAATTCTGAATCTTGATAGCAAATCTTTAACATAGAATTTGATGTCATCTTTCGAAGCTGTTCGCTCAGGTCTTGAAACAACTAAGGCGTAATCTCCGTTAATGGGGGATAACCCATTCGTGGGAGATAATTCAGATAACGATTTTATATGGTTGTTGAATTTCACACAGATAATATCAAGATCACTCTGCATTAACAGTTTCCCGCTGTAGGAAAGATCGATACATTTCTGAGCCAAATTGGTGGTGAATTCTGTTGTTTCTTCAACGGCTTGAATGACCCCGGATAAAGTTGGGTTGTCGACTGAATCTTGAAGTTCCGGCGGCAGAGCGGCGAGGATGGGGAGAATCTCGTTTAGCTTGTTTCTTATTAAATTCCATCTGGATGCGAAGACTTTGATCGAGTAAGAAAGGGTGATTAACGAAGAGATTTGGTCGGACGGTAGCCGGAGTTTTGAATTCCCGGCGATTTGGGTGTTTTCTTCCACCATTTCGGCGTTTTACTTGTTCAGAAGCAAACCCATTTTCCGGCAGCCATTTCCGGCGAGTTGTTGAGGGACTTTGAAGGTGAAGTTACGTCGCATTGATGGTGTTACAACTGTTGTACTTGTCACCTCGAGTGAAGTATAGGTGGGTTTTGATTTTACTAATATATCCTTTGAGGCTAGTAATGATTATGTAGTCATTACTTTGAGCTAGTGGGGGCATGTTTGGTATTTTACATATAGAAAGAATGTGAAACTAGTTAGCTGATCAGTCCTGGGTTTGTTACTAGTTGAAACCAAAATGAGATAAATAGTATAATATTTAATATTTAATTTTATTATAAAACATATATTTTAAACACTTATTATTAAAATTATTTTCAAATTATTTTCATTTTCCATTACAAAACAGAAATTAAATTACCTCTAATCTTTTATACCTACAATTATTTATATCTATTAAAATTTGACAAATCAACATTCAATTTAGTTTTATTTGATATATCCTTCTTAATAAATAAATAACTTTTTGCTACATATCGTATTCCCCTTCATTTGGATACATAATATTTTCTAGAATTTCAGAATTTTCTATTTTCAACTTGTCATTTTATTGTATTTTTTATTTTATTAAATTAAAATTTCACATTTAATATGTAAGGTAATATATATGTAAAGTATTTATTAGAAATAGTTTATATATATAATGTAATCAATATATCAAAACCTTATTAATTTTAATAATTCAAAATTTTTCTTATTTTTCTTATAAATTTTAACTTTTTAAATTGTTAAAATTTTATATTTATTTATTTTTTAAATAAACTCATATAATAAATGGATCTCACACCTAGTTCTTAATATAACCTTAACGAGTTAGTTAAAAAAAATATAAAATTATAACATTTGTCATAATTTTATTGGATAGAAACATTTTAGGCATAAAAAATAATAATCAATTTAATTTTTATAGATATAATCCAAATTAATTATATACTAAAAAAACTAGTTTCTTTTTAATCGACCTATCAACTAAGTTATATCAATTTTTTTACTTCCATTATCAATCCGATCCAAACAAACTCAATAAATATAACTTATGGTTATGTTTTATTCATTTCAAAATAACATCTATAACTATTTACATTTTATAATAGTTGTAAACAATTTGTTTTTATTTTAAACCAGCAAATATTTACCATTGAAAATATGTAAAAGAAACACTCCCGTGTGTCTTTTTTTCTCGGGATAATGATTTAGGAGGGTAACTACCTCTTATCTGTGTTCATATATTGACAACTTCTTCTTTTTTGTACATAATAAGGCAACTAATTTGTTTTAACTATTTAAATTATACCAATATTACCGACTAATACATGTTTTAACCGGTAACTCAAAGAAAAATGACCACGGAGGGTAACTACCTCTTATCCGTGTTCACATATTGACAACTTCTTATTTTTTGTACATAAGAAAGAAACTAACTTGTTTTAACTGTGTAACATCCCAACAATCATGACCAAAAATTTCGTTTTTAATTTAATACTAAAATCATAATTGTCAAACCATTAATTTAATACTCTAGCATCGGGCCTCGCCCGACATCAGGCCTCGTCTGGCATCAAGCCCCGCTCGGTATACAGATTTATCTCTCTTAAGCCCCGCCCTCTAAACACATACAATCATCTAATATGCTAATACATAAAGAAACATACTATACTGTATCCCTGTCTTAAAAAACATACTCAGCTAATAATGAGATACATAACTTCGTCCGTACTCAGCTAGTTCCAGCCAGGGCTTCAGCAGTGCAAGGTGAGTCTCCTCACTGTGTGAATGGGTCTAATGCCATAATGCCAGCCCATGTAGTCTATGAGTAGGAAGACTCGGGGGTTAGCCATATGCATTGTTTGCTAGTATGTTATTCTAGACCAAGGTCTGATGTCGGGCGGGTGCCTGAGGAATGTTTTCATGTTAGATTATACTTGTTGTATGTGTGATACTTGTAATTGCCTGGTAAAGAGGTGAGTGTGGGCGAGCTCCCGTATCTCATCACTAACTGAGTACAAACGATGTTCTGTATCTCATTATTACCAGAGTATGTTTCTTAGGACAGGGATACAGTAGAGTATGTTTCTTTATGTGTTAGCATGTTATATGATTGTATGTGTTTAGCGGGCGGGCCTCGGAGATAGTCGGGGCCTAAGAGAGACATCTCTGTATACCGAGCGAGGCTCGATGCCAGGCAGGGCCTGATGTCGGGTGGGGCCCGATGCCGGAGTATTAAATTAATGGTTTGAAAATTATGGTTTTAGTATTAAATTAAAAAGAAATTTTTTGGTCATGATTTTTGGGATGTTACACAGTTAAAACAAGTTAGTTGTTTTCTTATGTACGAAAAATAAGAAGTTATCAATATGTGAACACGGATAAGAGGTAGTTACCCTCCTAAGTCATTTTCTCTTTGAGTTACCGGTTAAAACAGATATTAGCCGGTAATATTGGTGTAATTTAAACAGTTAAAACAAGTTAGTTGCTTTATTATGTACAAAAAAGAAGAAATTGCTAATATATGAATACGGATAAGAGGTAGTTACCCTCTTAAGTCATTTTCCCTTTTTTCTCTATCCTCTCTCTTTTCTCTATACGATCAATACCATTTTATTATATAGAAATCAAAATAACATGGATCAGTTTGATCTAATATATAAAGCCATTAACAACACATCGCCTTAAAGGTTGGTGGAACAATCCAGGAGATTGCTTCCTGATGATTATTAGTTAAAGAAATTACAATATAATATATAAATCGAACATTACTTTTGTTTTGAAAATAAAGATAGTGGACTATGAAATCTTATATTAAATTTTTTTGGCCCTTTAGACTAGAATATTTATTTACTTTTTGTTTTAAAATGGAATAAGCATCTTAGAAGTACTTTGAAGTTTCTTTAGATAGCTTTGGTCCCCAATAAAAGTTGTATATTTTTCACAGGGCCAAAGTTTATATTTTGCACTTTCCAAACATCAAAAAGAGAAAAGAAAAGTTAACTTACCTTCGAAGTCAATTTATTTATTAATTTGCTTTCGTTTGGCACGTTTGGCACTAGAATATTTACGTTTGGTATGGTAGCTAAGCTTATTTTTAAGATATGTTAGCTTGTATGATTACAAAAATAGCTTATAATTTAGGATTTTTGGAATGGTTTATAGTTGAAATAATGAATTTTTCCCTTAAACTACTATATAAGTGCTTTCAGCACTAGTTATTTAACAGTCAAAAAAAAAAAAAACATCCATTGATGCTCTCGCTCCAAAACTCACTCGACATACGAGATAATCATTTATCAACCAGCGACTAAAGAAATTGGCATCTACGGATGTCAATTATAAACCAATGACTCAAAAATGTGTCAATTGAGAATGTCTCGATGTCAGGTATGAATTTGTCGACTGAGAATTGAGGTACAGCTTACTCATTACACAATCGATTTGCAATTATGTATGGTTTTATATGGTGCTCTTTCAGTTTTTTTCTTTCAAGATCAATATAGACGACCTTATGGAACATTGATCGGTGTAAAAAAAAAAAGTTACACCTTGTGCACCAAGGCAAAGAAATAAAACTAAATGAAACAGGAAAAAAAAAAGTTGCTTGCTAACAAAGTTAAACTAAATAGAAGCACCGGAAATTACATTAACAAAACAAACGACTACAACTATTTATACTAATTAAGATAGTATCCTACTCAAAATCTAAATGTAAAAGATGAACTAAGTAAAATAGAAACATTATCAAACTCTAAAACAATCAAACAAAACTTAAATATATAACTTTCATAAAATGCCCCTGCACTCATCAATCCGATTAACCCAACAATCACCCCCTTAATCGGACCGGTCATACCACCCATTAAGTACAACGTTTAATCACCTTTTAGAACCATCTCGATTCTCGACCTTTCCCGGACACCCGACCACTACCTCGGTTACGTCCAAAGTCTTCTCTCAATCCATTTGATTGTTGACAACACATATAACATATATCATGACATCCCGTTGGACACGTTCATTACCATCTAGACTTTTTCTGGATTCACAACCTTACCCCGACTAGATCCAAAGTCATCCGATTTGAACTTCCACTGCCATAATGCTCATACTGTGTTGTTTTTTCAGTCTCTTCCTTCGTTTTGATTACCATTCTTCAAAGAGGTGACTCCACCGACGAAGAAAACAAAGCTACCTGCTTCACCGTTTTCTTTCAACCTGCCAAACGAACTGAATCCAAAGCTACCTATTTTGACGGATCCTTCCTGCCTGCTTTTCATGCACCTACGTCGATATCCCCTTATCACGAACAAACCGATCAAGAACTTTATGCCTTCTGATTTCAACCGATCAACGTCTTATTTTTTTTTTTTTTAACAACCCTGACCTAATCAAACTTGTTCTGAGAGCACTTTTACACCGAACAACAAGACAAGGTCACGACCACTTTTACCGTCTTCCGTCACCCACAAAACGAACTAAATCAAAGTCACCCACTTTGACGTCTTCCTATCCGTTTATTCCGCGCCTCCGGTTAGTCTCTCTTTAACTTAGAACAAGCCCGATCAAAAAAATTGGGGCTTTTGCTGACATGCTTCAACTCACACTCAAAAACAATCCACACCACCTTAAACTGAACCCAGTTCCCGTTGCGTCTGCCCCACAGCGAAAGGCTATGGTTTTCTTGAAACTAACTCTCAAACTGGCATCGTCTTCACCTCGCTTTGATACCAAGTGTAAAAAAAAATTACACCTTGTGCACCAAGGCAAAGAAATAAAACTAAATGAAAAAAAAAAACAAGTTGCTTGCTAACAAAGTTGAACTAAATAGAAGCACCGGAAATTACATTAACAAAACAAACGACTACAACTATTTATACTAATTAAGATAGTATCCTACTCAAAATCTAAATGTAAAAGATGAACTAAGTAAAATAGAAACCTTATCAAACTCT